GGTTTCACCATGTTGACCAGGATGGTCTCGATCTCTTGACCTCGTGATCCACACGCCTCGGCCTCCCAAAGTGCTGGGATTACAGGCTTGAGCCACTGCGCCCGGCCTTTAGAAAATGTTTTAACCAGAGAGAATTTGCAAAACTAGTACAATGAATTTGCACCACTGCATTCCAGCCTGAGAGACAGCAAGACATACTATCTAGGTTCATCAGTTGTTAAATTTGCCACATTTTTTCTCTCTCATGTATGTATGTGTGTGTGTGTGTGTGTGTGTGTGTGTGTGTGTGTAGGTGTAAAAGCTCTTTGCCTCTCCACACATACACACATTCTCATATGCATATGTATGTGTATATAATTTTTTTGTTTTTCTTTTTTTTTTTGAAATGGAGTTTCACTCTTGTTACCCATGCTGGAGTGCAATGATGTGATCTCGGCTCACTGCAACCTTTGCCTTCCAGGTTCAAGCTATTCTCCTGCCTCAGCCTCCTGAGTAGCTAGGATTACAGGCACCCACCACCACATCCAGCTAATTTTTTTTTTTTGTATTGTTAGTAGAGATGGAGTTTCACTGTGTTGGCCAGGCTGGTCTCGAACTCATGACCTCAGGTGATCCACCTGCCTTGGCCTCCCAAAGTGCTGGGATTACAGGTGTGAGCCACTGTGCCTGGCCCTGTTTGTTTGTTTTTCTGAGACAGAGTCTTGCTTTGTCACCCAGGCTGGAGTACAGTGGCACCATCTCAGCTCACTGCAACCTCTGCCTCCAGGGTTCAAGCAATTCTCCTGCCTCAGCCTCCCTAGTAGCTGGGATTACAGGCACCTGCCACCATGGCTGGCTAATTTTTGTATTTTTGGTAGAGATGAGGTTTCACCATGTTGGCCAGGCTGGTCTTGAACTCCTGACCTCAGGTGATTTGCCCGCCTCAGTCTCCCAAAGTGCAGGGATTACAGGTGTGAGCCACCACACCCAGCCTATATATGCATTTTTTGGTGAACCATTCTTCTGAACCACTGGAAATTATTCACAGACATCATGGTACTTCACCTCTTAATACTTCACCATATCTCTTCTAAGAATAATTATGTTTTTCTACATACCCACAATACAATTATCACATTCAGAATTTCTAACATCGGCATAATAATGTTATCTAATACACAGTTGTACTCAAGTGTCTCCAATTGTCCCAATAATGTCCTTTATAGTTGTTGGGGGGTTTTTTTGTTTTGCATTCAATTCAGGATCAAATGAAGCACATGCATTGCGCATAATTGTCATGTCTCTTTAGTCTCCTTTAATCAGAACAGCTCTTCAGCCTTTGTTAGACTTTTATGACACTAACATTTTTGAAGAACACAGGCCAACTGTTTTGCAATGTCCCTCTATTTGAAGTTGATTTTTTTCTTCATTGTTTAAAATGTTAAACGTTTTGACAGGAAAACTGCCTAAGCAATATTATGGCCTTCTCAGTATATCATATCAGGAGGCACATGATGGCAGTTTGTCCCATTATTAATGATGTTAATTCTGATCATTTGATTAAGATGGTATTCACATGATGTCTCCATTATAAAATTACAAAAATTCCCTTTTGTATTTAGTTAGTAACGTGGGGTGATAATTTGAGACTGTGTAAATATCTTGCTCTGCAATAAGCTTTCATGCATTTATATTAACATCCATTGAAGATTCTTGCCTAAATTAATTAGAGTAAATTAATTATTACTCTGATGGTTGCAATACAAAGTGCTATTACTTTAAAACAGAGGCGATACCTCATATGGTAGCAGACTAAATGAATCATTGACATATATATTAAAAGATATTTGATATGCTAGAGTAAATTCAGTAAATTGTATTGAAAGGAATGTGTCTTTCTTTAGGCATTTTCCAAACTTACCTTTAACAGTTTTGCTTCATTTTTTGCAATTTAATATCTATTTCACTTTTCAAGACCCTTTTATAAGTATTTTCTACTTAGTTACAAGAGATTCCTATGAAAAATATTAACTATTCAAATGGTATTAAGCTAAGTTAAAGAGATTGAGGAGGAGAAATCAATCATTTATTCATTCAATGAATATTTATTGAAAATCTACTATGTAGATTGCCAGGCACAGTGGCTCACACCTGTAATCCTAGCACTTTGGGAGGCCGAGGTGGGTGGATCACCTGAGGTCAGGAGTTCAAGACCAGCCTGGCCAACATGGTGAAACCCTGTCTCTACTCAAAATACAAAAATTAGTCACTTGTAATTCCAGCTACTCGGCAGGCTGAGGCAGGAAAATTGCTGGAATCCGTGAGGCAGAGGTTGCAGTGAGCCAAGATCCCGCCTCTGCATTCTAGCCTGGGCGATAGAGTGAGACTCTGTCTTAAATAAAATAAAATAATAAAATAAAATCTACTATGTAACAATATTCTGACAATTCACTACTGAACAAAAAAGACAAAAATCCTGGCCTCGGCCAAGCACAGGCACGGTGGCTCACACCTTGTAATCCCAGCACTTTGGCAGACTGAGACAGGAGGATTGCTTGAGCCCAGGAGCCTAGGCAACATAGAAAGAACTTGTCTCTACAAAAAAATAAAAAATTAGCCAAGCATGGTGGCATATTCCTGTAGTCTTAGCTACTTGGGAGGCTGAGGCAGAAGGATTGCATGAGCCTAGGAAGTCAAGGCTCCACTGAGCCATGTTTGCAGCACTACACTCCAGCCTGGGCAAGAGAGTGAGAACCAGTCTCAAAAAAAATCTTGGCCTCTATAGAGAAGGAAAATAGGCCAGGTGTGGTGGTTCACGCCTGCAATCCCAGCACTTTGGGAGGCCAAGGTGGGTGGATCACCTGAGGTCAGAAGTTCAAGACTAGCCTGGCCAACATGGCAAAACCCCATCTCTACTAAAAATATAAAAATTAGCTGGGGGTAGTGGCATGTGGCTGTAATCCCAGCTACTTGGGAGGCTGAGGCAGAAGAATCATTTGAACCCGGGAGGCGGAGGTTGCAGTGAGCTGAGATCATGCCACTGCACTCCAGCCTGGGTGACAGGGCAAGATTCTGTCTCCAGAAAAAAAGA